TGCATAATTTTGTTAAATTTTTCGTCGTGCTTACTTCTGAAGTTGTTTCGAGTCTTCCACATCCGTGAATGAATTGATTGATGTTAAAGACAGCAGATGGGTCGTATACGCCGGGGAGGCCAGTGCTGAGAATGACATGCACACGGAGATAATTGTTAGCCGTGGTCCCACACGCCGGGGAGCGAGAGTGTAGACGACTGAGGCTTGCATACGTAACCGTTGCTAGGACTGAGGCAGAATGAGTGACGAGCAATCACAGTGGTAATTGGTAGTGAATGGATAAGAGGATGTGCGAAGAGTATCATGAGGTGATGCTGTGGTCGCGTTGCTTTCTGCAAGAGTCATTCTAGGAAGTGAAGATTGTGTTGCAAGATGTCAAGAGGATACCTCTAACTGGAAGGGGTAGGTCGTCATCGATGAGTGAGATTGCGCTTTGGGTATGCCTGTGTTATGTTGGCTTTTCTGTTTGTTTTCCATTTCAGCTTTGTCCGTGTGACCCAGGTTCTCGCAATGGCATCCAAGTCAACGTGTATTGGTGGTGATGGAGAAAAGGGATGGATCTCTTTTTTTACAGGGAAGTGTGATTGTGGTTGAAGATTGAACGATCAATTCATGGTTGTTTACTCAAGTCCAACTTCCCTGCATTTTTCGCGGGAGTCATCGATAGTGCAGTCATCGTCTAATCGTCCGCTGTTCAGGGAAGATAAAAAACTTCAGAAATAATATCGTGCTATATAGTTGTAACATTTGTTCTTGGACCTTCCTCTTTAATAATAGTACTGTTGGTTATATGTTGGCGTTAGAATAAAAGATTTTTTATCGCCACTGACTGTTCTGATTTTTGCATTGGTTTATACAAGTGTTTCTGAAAATCCTCGTGGGACATCGTGAGGCCCAGCGTGGGATTAGATGGACATTAACGGTTTATTAATCTTGACTGACAGAGTGTGTCTTGGAGTTTTAGACAAGTGTCAGTTTAACATCTATTCAAGAAAAACTTTCGGGTTTACATCTACTTTGTTAGTTATTATTCTTCTTGGTACAAATTACTGAAGGCTGTTACGTGGTTGACACGATATGTTACGCATTTAAAAGTCATGCATCTTTTAGGATACGATCATATGATTGTGGGACCTTTGAGATTCGAAGATATTAGAAATGCAGATTTAGCGATTTTGAGGGATTCTCAGTGGGAAGCGTGGGGTGAGATTTCCAAGGAAGATAGTCCTGATTTCACAGATTTCAAGGCGAGGTTAAACAGATTATCTCCGATAGTTTCCGAATGGATCGCTTGAGTTGGTAGCCGGCTACAAATGTTAGAATTGGTATATGAGACCCGTCATCCGGCCTTATTACTTTGCTATCATCCAGTTAATGGTCTCATTATAAGACATTACCATGTTCTTGAAGGTTATTTGGGTTCTTCGCAAGTACTATCAGGCATTCGATGTAAGTTTTGGATAGCGAAGGGAGGTACTACTGTCCATAAAATAATTGATAAGTGCATGGAATGTAGACTACGGAGTGCTCTCTCAGCACAGCAGACGGTGGCACCACCCCCAGTGTGGCAAGTTTCTGAAGGGAATCATCCATTCCAGTGCGTCGGAGCGGATTTGTTTGGAACTTTTTTGGTGAAGCGAGGCAGAACCCTATGTAAAAGATATGACCGTTTATTCACCTCTTTGAAAATGAGAGCTGTGCATATTGAGATGGTTAATGCGTTAACCACTTATTAATTCGTTCTAGCTCTACGTAGGTTTGTAAATCGCCGAGGTGCACCGAAGATGATGTTCAGTGACAGAGGGACTAATTTTGTTGGCTATCACGCCCAGCTTAAAGAGTATTTAGAAGGTCCTCAAACGAGAGTTCATGAAGAGCTACTGAAAAGAAACTGGTAGCCATTGGTGGGCAACTCGCAGGCGCGAATGGTTCGATTGTGTACAAGTTCGACGAAGACGAACAAAAACGAATAAAAGTACTTCATAATTTTGTATAAAACATTTGTTTATAGAATTTTAATGTTCTTTGCATTAATTCCCGAAGAATATAATTTTTACTTACAATACTGGTGTTTTGGAGTTTAAGCCGGAGAAATTACATAGTATTTTTCAGTGCGGAGCGTCTTCGTAACAGCAGGAACTTAGGGATAAATTCCTTGACACCAACAATATTGATGACACATTACGAGCCTGTAGGCATGGAGTTTCAGGCTTAGTGATAAGCCGTCTGTCTGGAGTTTTACAAGGCAAGGCATTATGTGAGGACATGGTTCTCTCAACACCCTCTGCATATTAACAGTGTAGTAACCACTCAGATATGAGTGGTGATTCTAGGCAAAGATCTCGTGATGGGTTACACAAGTGAGTAAAACCCTCAATACTATCGAAATTTTCTGTAATTCTGCTATGGATTTCTGAATTACCAGTAAACCACTTTTGCTATAAGCCTCAGTAGCAGTCAGTTCCTCAATCGGGTTGAACACTTGGGGTGTGTCTGTTGTCGTAGGCTTAGAATTATCAAAGGGACCGAGAAATTTAGATAACTGTCGAATATTAGATGCCAATCTCTTTATAATAATTACGCGTTTGACAGGCTTAATTATTATATTGACGATGACTATTGTGATTTCTAAAAACAATTTCGGGACATGAAAATACTGTTGTATTAGTGAAATAAGTAAAATAACAATAAATAGGTATGAGGAGGGAAATAAAGTCGGGTTTCCCTTTACCTGTATTTCGTGAGGCGAAAATCCTTTGATTCCAGGTGACAAGAAAGTGTACCAGAAGAATAAGGGTGGAGGATTTTGAAAGTAAATACTGCGTACAGTCACAAGTAATAAAATACATGCCTCATTAATTATGGAGGTGTGGATATTAAGCGAATCTCGACTGATTTTCAAGGTAATATTCAAAAGAGATTCATGGGGAAACACTACATCAAACAGTTATCGCATGAAACACATATTTATCATCCTACAAAACAACTAGTGCATTCTTACCTAGAAAAGATGTCGAACAACTACTTTGAAAGAGCCAAATAAGCACCAAAATCACTTCAAATATAGCTCTCTGGATAAAACGAGGCAAACTAACCCAAACTTCAGTCAACTGAGCTGCACAAAGTATCGATCGGACAAAGTAGGTAGCGCCGCTTCAAAAGAGGGTTATACCTTATTAACGCCCACTGGTTATTTGGAGTATCACTGTCAAGTCACGATGGCAGTGTCACGTTTCGCTTGAAGCGAAATGAGTATAGAAAGGTAACCGTTACACGGATTCCACACAAAACAACGGTTTGGGCAATGTATCACGGGCTTATGCTGAAATAGTGTATCTCTATCGCAAATACGGCGTAAAAATCAGAACATGAAACTTAAAACACTTTCGGAAACAACACTCAATTAAGGCTTTCACTGGTCACTGACCTACGTTTTCCACCTGTTCAGCTAATATGCGATATGTTTATCCACAATATGACACTAAAATCAGCAGGGAATGAATAATTATTTCCTTGGTGTCAGAGGAGTGGTTTTCTTGGCAAATGACGCAAAAGAACGTAACTGAATTCACTGTTGGATTTTTACCGAAACATTCCATTTCATCGCTGCTATTGTTGATTTGTTTTAGCGAGAATGTCCAGTTACTATTTCCTGGCGCAAGAAACGTCGATGAAAGATAGGCAATCTGGTGTACGTAATAGACGTAAGAAACAGAGAGCACACTAAAATCATAATGCTAACTTGAAGACAGACGTCACTCAGGAGGATTTAAAAACAGTATTTCCTTAAAATTAGTGGGCCACAGCATTTTTCACTCAACACTGGATGTTGACTTCCTCTATTTAAGTCGATTTTTAGGTTGAATGTACGCAGTCAAGTGTCCAAGTCATTTGGCACTCTGTCATGTTGCACTTGGTTGTTCGTGCATTTAATTTATCTAGTTAGACAACCGTCGCTGCTGTACACTTCCGATCCCAAAATGTATTTGTTGTTTTTGAAAGTTCGGCGTTTCGTTTTTTCTGACCTCAGTATTACAAGTACTTTAACAGTTACAGGATAGAAAAACGCGTCTATTGATGGTGTATATCGTGTGGACATCGAAACCTTTCATCCGTTAAAACACTTTGAAAGTTTTAAATGTAGAATTTAAATATGTAGATTATGTTATAAATTATTTAAACTAATCCAAACGTGTTAATAAAATCAAAAGAAGATTATGTGTGCAGCTTAACTCCAATGGAGTTACAACTACATGAAGAACTTAGTGTCTCTTAATATCATGGTCAGCCTAAATGAACAGTGTTTTTATATTCTTAGGCTGATTTTCAAACTAGAATTCACATAAAAGGAATGTTCAGACCAGGAAAGTGATGCGAAGAAAGAGTGCAACATGTCTGGGGTCTGGTAAAAACGGTTCTCTGAACTAATTAAGATTTAGGGCATTGCAATAAAATGCATCTATAGTGAATGACAAGAACATACATCAAACTAACATGATCTTTGGTAGGTAAACTAAAGCAGAAGAAAGCCTTTGATCTAGTAGGAGCTCATTACAGCAGAGGTATTGCTTAGTAAATAAGCTACTCAACAAAACCTAAGAGACTGTCGTAGTCACATTACAAATTCACGCAATCCCGCATGAAACTCATTATTTTGTGAAGTCTAACTGATACCCTCTTTTTGACTTCTTTCCAAGCCAGAATATCCCAGAGTGCATAGAAGAAGAGTTTATAAAACAAGAGGTAACCGTATCACTGTGCAGTAGTGGTCATAAATTCTTGAAGCCGATTGCCAGAGGAAATGGTTTCTACACGCCTAATCGATATGCCCAGGAGGAAATCAGACCACCACAGGTAGCAATTCGAAAAATATTAATACAGACCCAAAGTTTTCTATTTCAACCAAAAATGAGTAATCTGAATCTTAATTCCAAGTGTTCAATGCGAGCGGCTCTTACAACTGTTGCTCAGTACACGTTAGCGTTACGCGTAATCAAATTATGGGTGGTACTGCTAGCTCTCCAATCCCTGGTGGTGGAACATCTGGGTATCACGTCTTACGGGTAAGCAGCTTATTACAAAATTTCCAGCAAATCTGTTTTTACACGCAATATTAACCAAATAAAATATTGTGGATAGTATTATCCACCTTCAGATTTGCATATTTATTTATCACTATTCAATATAGATTACTAGAAGTGTTTTAAAAGTCTTAGAAGTGCATTTCTTTGGGTTCCGGGTGGGACATAGGGCTTCAGCAATACATCACTTTGTTCTATTTTCTGCCGTCATCTTCATCTGTGTCCACGACTAACCATACTCTCATCCCCTACTTGCACGGCCTCTTCCATGTCACCCTCGCACTGACTACCCTCTCGTCGCTTCTCATTCAGATTCCACTCGAGGGCCTAGCGCGTGATGTCATGCGATGGTCTCTTCAATATATGTCTGATCCATCTCTTTTCTCCTACATATTACAAATCAGCTTACGATAACCTTTTGTGATTCCATTGAACCACTCAACGACTTACTGTGAGAATTAAAGCAAGCCTATCTAGGCTATGACGGGTGAAGTGCATATGATACATCGAAATCCCCAGTAGTATATGCCTATGCAGTGTACTTTGCTATTATAGCCTGCTCTTAAACGATTCAGGACTTGGAGTCTTGTGGAACTTCCTGGAGAAACGAATTCTGAGTGAAAACTATAGGATACTCCCCTTGTGGGATTGACTTCATCCGCTGGCCTACACCATAAAATTAATTTTAAGTGACTTAGTTCCCCGGTTAGAATTCTTAATATATTTCAGATAACTAGGAAGAATCATGATCCCTGATAAAATATGTGTAACTGACTTTGGTACATAAGACGTGTGCCTCAGGTCACTGTATTCTAACTAAATTGTAGGGTCCTACGGAACAATTGTCATCAAATAACATGTTGAAACAAAAACTTCCACACAAGTATTAATTACTGACCCAAGTTACCAGGCCCCGTAGTTGCACATCACTTAGGCGATAAATAAAAAGACAATGAATTAACAGTTGGTTTTAAAACCAATGAAAAACAATAAATTGTAACTACGGGGATGATTAAATATGAACGCCGTTAAACTCGTTAGTTTTAAGTGCCTGTGGTTAAGCAGACCGAAACTAGATAACCTACTTGTGTATTCTTAACCCATACGGGTAGCAAGTTACTTCATAGACGAGCCCATGTGTTCTTATGTTAACCCTTAATCTTCTTTCAACTTTTCTGTTATCTTTACAAACATGGAGCGTCGAAATATATGGAGAGTAAACTTGCATAATTTATTTTGAAAATTTCAGGTGAAGATTTACATCTTAATCGACTAACTTGACGTCTTGGTTTAAACTTCATTACTAACTTATACTTTTTTCACATGGTGGTGCTCTTAGATTCAGAAAACTTTAAAAACGTACCTATAATCATATAAATGAATTCCACACAAACCTACTTTCAATGACCATGTTTTTGGTATCCATCGACTAGACTATTTGATCCTTAGCATGCAAGATATCTTTTCAAATATTCCAATTTTGTGCTAAAATAAAAATGATCTGACCATCCGAAATGATGTAGGGCTTAGGAGCATTGCGAACTCCTATCGATCTTTGGACTATATCCATAGAGACCCAATGATTTTTTAGTGAGTTCTCATCAAAATTATGGGCACATGTTTGTTCGCATCTAACATTCTCTATGCACAGACACCTTTTATTTCTTATATCAACGTATTTCTACTCAAAACCTTTACTGTGTTTAAATGTGGCATCTTCAACCGATGTTCATTGATCTATCAACCCAATTGTATCTAGTTATTCTGTTGATAGTATTGAGGCAGACCTAACTTAGATTTGATTATCTTTTGCCTAGGCAGATATAAATGATAAAAATACAGTTCTTAAAGATAAAGTTTTCTCGAATTCCTTATAAGTTAGTGGAATCACTTCGATGTGATCATATATTTTTGTTAAATTTTCTTGTCGAATTCTTCATGCTCTTGCATATAAACGAGCTTCGACACATGGTTGTTGGGTAAACCTTAGGAAAATTGTTCACATATTCTTTAGTAATTTACAAAACTTATTGAACCTCAATTTAGATTATTTTATCCTGATATATTTTCCTGTGTAGTTCTTTATGAAGCTAATCAACCAAAATTATATGCTTATTTGTGTATTTCAGTATCACATTAAGCAAACACTAGTTTTACAGTTGTAAACTTTCACCAGTAGTTAGTTAACTTAAAGTGAATTTTGCTTCAGTATAAAATATTGTTTTAAGACCAACCTCAAAAACATGTGTACTTGCTCATTATATCTCATGACAAGTTATGAAAATTTCTGTATTTTTAGGTCCAGGAAGGCTCACCTGGTCACCAAGCTGGTTTGGAAGCATTTTTTGATTTTATTGTTGCAATAGGAGATAAACGCCTGGTATGTGAATTATTTTTATTTTCACGATCGTTAGATTAACATTATTTTCGGTTGCATTTTACCTCATTTCTGATCATCGGGCTCCAGAAGTACACGATTCGGTACTCATAGTAAAAATAGAATATATTGTGTCAGGCTGACAAACAAAAACGATATGGTTGATTTGCCGTTAGTCTATTGTTACTGATTTCAGGTGTTAGTTTGTAAGTAAAACCATCACATTTCTGAAGTTAACTAGGGGTTTTTCTTGATCCGATTAAACACAGATAAAAGTGTTGAGCACTAGTCTCCTGAGAATCAGGCCTTACATTTGTTTATTAGAAAATCATCAACCTCTAATCACCTGTTTGTCGTCTAATAATCCCGCCAGTTTGATATCAGTTTATTTTTTGTACAGGTAATAAGATTTTGATGAAACATACTATATAAGTATAACCTGATCAACCTTATATTAATCTTTTTGGTCATTTTGTAGTTATTTCTGCGATATGTTTAATTTGAGTGCAGTCAAATAGCTATTTATACATCTTAAACACTAATCGCCCAAAAATTTCGTATCCTATTTGTAATCTAATTGATCAGCGTTCTATTTCCATTCGATTGCCTACAACAGCTTCCCTAGTTTCATTTTACTGACTGATTCAGATAGCGTAAAGCCGAAAACATCGCATTAACTAACTTCGACTTAGTTCCATTCGTAAATTGTAAAAACAAAATTAGTGAGATATTTATGCCATTGTGAATCATTTTAAGTTATAGCACCAATAGTCTAACTGCTGATTCTTGACATTCTGAGGATTTCAGTCAAGTTTACGTCCCCTCACTATGTAGTACGCTACGGTTAACGTTGTTGTTATTGACTACGTTGCTCCACCTAATACGGAAGACTGAATAAAGGCACTTGAAATCAGATGCCTCTAGTCTTTTGATATCTTCCACCTTCAACTATCATGTCTCAGGAGTTGAGTAGAACGAAACGAGCTGCTGCATAACACGCATACTCATTAAATGGATGAGTAAATATTGCACTGGTACTAGAGGACAACCTGGTAAATGCCAAACGAGCGTTCTGCACTTGTACTCAAATCTCGTCAGTAAACAATCCATGTAAGTTGATGTAGCTCCTTAAGTGAGTGGAGTTGTCAATACATTCAGTCCTTTCATTAAATATCCTAAACTAGGAGTCGGTTTAGATCAGACTGCAGCATCATCTTACACTCAACAGGGCCTAACATCGGCCTAAACTTACTTGAATTTCTACACCAGACGTTCACATGTCTGTCTGTCTGTCTGTCTGGATTCAACATAGAACTTGGCACCGAAGTCAGCAGCTCGAGTTGCACGTTCCAAAGCACACAGAGGTAGACAAGAAGATGAGTGAAGAGAATCAATACAGTCTGACAAGTATAAGAGTGAAACAGAATGGTAATGGTAGAAAGGAATATGAAAGATTACAGAGACTGAATACATCTGCGCTGGTCATTGACAACGATTTTGAGCCATGTCACCTATTGTCTCCACCATTGATTCCTAGAGTCCCGAGGGCCCAACCCGGGAGTCTGCATCTCCCTACCTGACTCAGTTTAACTGTCAAGGATTTCATGGATTGATGAGGCCATGTTTGTTTGGCCACCACTGGCTCTTTTCCAACCTGCACCTATATCAGCTAGCAATGCCCGTCGGGGGAGGCGGTGGTTAGGCATGCGCAGCACGTGACCTAGCCATCTTAGTCTATGTAACTTTATAGCCTCGTCGATTGATTTCCCTCTTTGCCCAACACTCTACGCTAACGTCAACATTACTTACCTTGTGAAACCACCTAACGAGACAGAGATCGCAGACATCTATGATCGAAGCAGTCAACCTTTCATGTCCTCAACGAGTATTGACCATGTTTCAAGCCATAGAGAAGGACGGAGCGAACTGCTGAGCAGTACACACGTCCTTTGGTTGATAACGGATGTCACGCCTACGCCAGAGATGGTGTAAGTCAGCGAAAGCAGCTCGAGCTTTTCGGATCCGTGCTGAGATTTCATCGCCAATCAGTCCGTTGGTGCTAATACAACTTCCCAAGTAGGTGAAGTGGTCAACATGTTCTATCACTTCCCTCCCTATCATTAAGTTAGGGTTGACGTGGTCCAGTCCTGTAGCAGCATCTTACATTTTGCAGGGACGTTCACATGTCTGTCTTGTTGACCTTTTCACCCAGGAAGACAGCGTCATCTACGTACGTTAGGTCAGCAAGCCAATTCTTTGATGAGTCAGTCCCAGAAAAATCGAATTTAATCAGGGTGCGTTAAATTAACGGGGTAACTGAATCATGTTTATTGTTCCCTAGACCAAGGTGAAGAGAACATGCGTCTGTCTTAAGTGTTTTTATTTTGGAGTAGTATCAACTGAAGTTTTAAATCACTGATTTATACAAGTCATCCCTAATAGTATTCTACGAGTAGCGCTCGCAAACTCGTTTGCTATTATTTATTTAAACGCATAAAAATTTGGTACAATATGGTACCAAGAAGGATGCGCCACACAATAATAATAAAGCAACATAGATCAAAAGAAAAAATATATATAAGTAGAGAACGGATAAAGAACTTCATCTGGAAGGAAGACAGTCATGCTTAACAAGTTCAAACAGTATTCGTTAACTATCATCGGGAAGGGAAGAAAGAAGGAAATCGCAACACGTCCGCCATTGATTACGACTCTTGGCCATATCCGATAACGTTTTGAGCCATCGATCTGAGCTGTTGCTTCATTTGATTTATTGTGTGAGGGCTGAGATACTGCCCGAGCGCCCAGATCGAAGCAGGTGGTTTTATTAAGGGACCACCCCCAGAGCCTTTGACTTGGAGTCTAATCCGAAAGGCAGCGGAGCAGCGTCAGGAGCTACATTCCCATGGTTCCCGGTGACCCATATGGGTTCATACGCCATTTGATCCGATTGGATACTGGAGCCCTTGTACCCCATGGTAACTGATTTTGGTTTAACCGCTATCCAAACAACCTTCCTGACATGATAGGACCTGCAGGGGCATGAGTCCCAGTCAGTTTAGCATGTTGGGTCATTGCGGTATTTAAGCCCGACCACCACGACAAGGTAGCAGTTATCGGCCCGGCGTTCGCTATTGAATACGCAAATACTAAATGTTTATAGTACTATCATTTAATTATTGTACTACCTAAATAAGTATGACCCTTCAGTTAAGTAAATCAATTATTCCATTGTTGAACACAAAGACATCATATGCACTTCAAATTGTGTGGTTGATCCTAAAACAGCAAATGCGTATCAAAATGTAGGCAGATAGATATAAGGATACATGCCTAGTGGAAAGGGTCAATCACTTGCATTCCTATAACACGACAGTCAATTCACCAGTTGTGCTCCCATTGTTATATATTTGTGATTAATTATGGTTTAATACTACAGAACTAATTATTAGCTTTCGACGAAGGCGTTAGCCATTTTAAGATTGAAATGTAACCGGATAGGTTAGTTTAATGTTTACTTATTTTTATTTTGTCATTTAGGAAGAAGATAATGACTGTATCAAAGACTTACTACAAGCTAATAAAGACAGACCTGTCCGCTTAGTTGTCTATTCAACCAAATCACAAGCCTGTCGTGAAGTAACCTTGATACCAAATAATCATTGGGGTGGTCAAGGTCTAATGGGTGTTAGTATTCGATATTGTTCATTTGACAGAGCAAACGAAAATGTATGGCATGTGTTGGATGTTGAGCCTAAATCACCAGCAGAAATGGCTGGTTTAAAACCGTATACAGACTACATTATTGGTGCAAATTCAGTTTTAAATAGTGTAAGCTTTTCTTTTTTTTGTCATTTGTTCGTGAAATCTTTTAATTAATATTAAATATTTTGGAAGAAATATCTTAAGTTCCCTTGTTAGCAAGAAATGCCCTTTAATAGAGTGGTAGTTTAATGGTTCAAGCATTTATTCCTCATGCATTGATTTACACGTTCTAAACCGACCTGCATTCTAAGTTACCATTTCTTTACATTTACGTCGTGCAACTTGGCTTCGTTCCAGCTCAGAGGTTTATTGATTAGAATGTTGTCAGTGAACTGATAAGTGATAAATGGAGAGATACTTGGAGTTGATTGATTCTTGAGGCACCTGAAACATAAAGAGAATTAGTGTTGCGTGCCCGCAGAGCCCAGGAAAAACTGCTTGAGGTCGGTCACAAACGGCCTGTATGAACTGCTTTCTTGGATTGGTTCCGCACTAGTAACTCACCGCCGGTTACGGACCACCTTAGGGATGTACAGTTTTTGGGGTCGACCTTTCCTAACCCCTTCTCTCTAGAGTGAATAGACAACATAGCTGCCATGTTGATCGTATGAGGGGAACACCTTACTGCAGTTACATCCCTGTTCCCCAGCAGTACAGCTTCGCCCACAGACCCCCAGCATAGTGTAAGAAAAAGTTCTTACTGCTTTTAGTCTAATCGCTATCTTAACAACCTTCCTGGCATGGTAGGGCCTGCAGGAACAATAGTTCCAGTCAGTGTAGCTTGTTGGGTCATTGCGATGTGCAAGCCCAACCACCACGTCAAAGTAGCAGCTATTGGTCGGTTGGAGTATGAGTTTAATAATGTTTAACTATATATATATATTTCCTTGTTCATGAACGCCTCTAGTTTAACACAGCACAAAATGATACAAGGAAGTCGTGTTTAAAAACTTCATGCAATTCTTCCCATTAATAAACTTGAACAAAGCAAGAACAATAATTGTACCAGGATAATATGAGCTCATCACCATCATTATTTCGAGGATTCTTCTCAACTGGTTACAACCTGAATTAAAGATTTGAACATACTTTTCCACGATCACAAGGAGTAATTGGTAGGAAGTAAAAGTAACATTATAATTACCCATTTAAAGTAACATTAGTCCGGAATGGTTTAACTAATTAAGAGTTACAACCTGACTATTTATAGAATAATCAGACAATTAGGCTTGGAAACAAAAAGCAGAGTTGTGTATATATGTGTGTTTATAGAAACAAGGTTTGGCTATAATGAGCATAAAAAAGGTAGATTACGTAACTAAAGAAGATGTTTTATCTAGTGGCCAATAGAAAAAAGAAAAAAGAACAAGGTAGGATGAGTCATGTTTAGATGACAGAGTAAAGTTTTCTAAACAAGAAAAGGGGTAACTCATAAAAGTTCCATATATATTCCTGAACACATACCAAATAACCTAAGAATGAAAGGTCCACAAGCATTAAACAGTGTGATTCCATGTCATCTATTGGACACTGGTCGTATTGTAGACAACCGAAGTCGTTCAAAATAATCAACATGCAAAGGGGAACCTAGCTTGCTACGCTTTACTGAAGCAATTGCTATCAAACGACTTAAACCAAATCTCTGTACGCAAAAAGAGACAGTGGTGAATCTTGCACTGCCCTGGTGATAAAGAATATGGGTCACCCCTTTTCTTGTTTAGAAAACTCTACTCTGTCATCTAAACATGACTCACCCTACCTTGTTCTTTTCTTTCCTTTCTTCTATTGGCTACTAGATAAAACATCTCTAGTTACGTAATCTACCATTTTGTTATGCTCTTTCTAGCTAAACTTTGTTTCTATACACACACATATATACACAACTCTGCTTTTTGTTTCCAAGCCTAATTGTCTAATTATTCTATAAATGTTGTAACTGTTAATTAGTTAAACCATTCCGGACTAATGTTACTTTTACTTCCTACCAATTACTCCTTGTGATCGTGGAAAAGTATGTTCAAATCTTTAATGTAATGTAATTCATATTTTTTATCGTTCAGGTTGTAGGCAGTTGAGAAGAATCCTCGAAATAATGATGGTGATGAGCTCATATTATCCTGGTACAATTATTGTTCTTGCTTTGTTAAAGTCGTTTTTCATAGAACAGTGGCTACATAAAATTTATTGGCTATTAAAGTCATTACTACTGTTTCTTTTAAAGGTAATTCAATTACTGCAAATAAAAAATAATAGTGGAAACATGTCTCACTATCGTAGACGCTAAACTTCCGACTAACTTATTAGGTTTTCTAGACCTGTTCCAGTAAGTTGATCATCACACATGCGGTTCACAGATGAGCACATAAGCATGCATAGGATCGCTAAGTTGATCATACGCATATTGCTTATTTGACAACTAGATAGATGAGTCTAATGGTAATTCGAGTGTTTTTGCTTTGCCCTTCCGCGTAAGACAACGTCTTTTCATGGCGGGCGCAGTATGGCATATCTCTCAACCTAACCTTACTGAATAAAGCAGTTGACTGCTCTTTTTTGTATTGAAAAGAGTCTGTGAGTTCATCAGGTTTTATTTGATTTAGCTATAGCAAACATACCAGAATCAAGATGTGTATAATGCATTATGAATTGATGGTATGGCCTAGTCCCCCCCCCCTGTCACAACTCCTATAAACCCGTCATTTGCAGAAGTTACATTTAAAAGCCTAGTAATTTGCTGCCTAAACAGTAAACAGATTAATTACGTAATACAGGGTTTTTCAACATCTGTTTTTTGCTAAATCTCTTTTGTCTCTCTTCAATGTCCGCCATTCAGGAGCTCTAGGTGATGTAATGTTTCATCTGTTGTATGGAGTGGTGTAATTTTTCAGGTTCAGAAAACTGAAATATTTTAGTGATCAATTATGGACACAACTTCGAAATGTGTAGTTTACCTGTCTTTTTATAATGCTATACAAGGCATCACATAACACATTAGGGAGGAGTATTGGAAAGATTGGTAAACAAAGTCAGGAGCAAGTATATATTTATGTCAATTTTGTCAATATACTTTCTAGAAGTGTTTATAACACGCTTATATATTGATAGTTAACTCCTGGATGACCTGTGTCCACCCTCAAATAGACGTGATACTGTTTTCTACAGCAAACACTTTATAAAGGCTTGTTCAAATTTCTGTTAGAAAAAAACCACTGAAAATTGTGAAATTTTTCCTAATTCACATTCATTTTTAACTCATTAAAACGTAAGTGGTTGATACCATAAAGACTCCGACAGTCTACAAGTTTGAGGCTTTCTGATTTACTATTGTATTACTACTGTGTAAGTGAGTTGATTTTTTCATAACATTGTCAGAATGTCTAATTCTTTTTGGCCTTGTTATGCGATCACTTCTTAGAGTGTTGGTTTTTTTTATTAAAAATACATTACAAACTAATAAATTTCTGCTTACTTTATTCTCGGTATTTTTCCTCGTTTCCACATATCAAGAGAGATGACTTTTTCGATCTGATTGATGCTTCTGATGGTCATGTAATTCAACTGTACGTCTACAATTCCGAATCAGATTCATGCCGTGAAATACATCTTAAACCTGATTCTAACTGGGGTGGAAATGGTTTACTCGGCTGTGATATTGGCTACGGTTATCTACATCGTATCCCAACAACAGGAGCACCACCTGTTCCTCCACCACAACCACCAAGTGATACTGCACACCAACCTCAAGAATTCACAAAACCGTCGGTTGAAAATTCAAATATGCCAACAGTATCATCGGACAGACTTAAATGGAGTTTCTGCTCCATATTGTCCTCCACCTCCTTATTCGTCGTTTAACACTACAGCGTCGAATACATTTTCTGAGGTAAATTCTATATGCACGATTTTATTGTAAACTATCCCTGTTCTTACTACTTTTTTGTGTGGCTCTTTTATGAAGTGTTGGATTGATTTTAAAAACATACAGACCATGTTTACCTCCGGCTCTTTTTAAAGATGGTGGCGAGACTCTCACAATTGCTCTAACTGGATTGTTCAGGAAGGTATGGGAGACAGAGAGTGTACCATCAATGTGAAACGAAGCCATTATCGTCCCCATCTTTAAAAAGGGTCGACGTAATTCGTGTGACAATCACTGGGGTATCAGTCTGTTACCAGTCGCGTCTAAAATATTGGCTGCTGTCTTGCTTCGCAGGCTGTGCAAAATACCTGAAGGATTGATTCGCGAAGTGCAGGCTGGGTTTCGTTCAGGTCGTGAATGCATTGATCATGTGTTCACCCTTCGTCAGTTGTTGGAACACCGCCACACGTATTGCAGGCCAACGATCGTTGTGTTTCTTGATATTAGGGCTGCCTTCGATTCGATGGACAGAACTGTGCTCTGAAACTGTCTGTTAGAGAGAGGTGTACCTGAGAAATTTGTTAACATCTTGAAAGCCCTATACAGAAACACCTCAGGTAGAGTGAGGGCATACAACCAACTATCACCACTGTTCCCAACCAACAGTGGGGTTAGACAGGGTTGCCCAATCTCTCCATTTCTCTTTAACTTTGCCATCGATGACATTCTGGAGTCAGCTCTTAAGGATATGTGTGAAGGTGGTGTAGATCTGCTACATGGAGATAGACTTTTCGACCTCGAGTATGCAGACGATATCGTCTTACTGTGCGATAGCATGCAGGCTGCCCAAATCGCACTTAATCAGTTAGCGATCAGTGTCTGTAAGTATGGTATGTGCTTTGCGCCGTCTAAGTGCAAAGTACTGTTACAAGATTGGCAGGAGCCTGTACCTGCACTCACTCTTGCAGGTGAACCGCATGAAGTTGTTGATAAGTTTGTGTATCTGGGTAGTTGTGTGAGTGCTGGCAGAGGGGTGACGGATGAGATTTCCAACCGTATAATGAAGGCTAGGGTGGCATACAACAACTTGAGCCACCTCTGTTGCCGTCGCGATGTTAGCCTGGCTGTCAAAGGTCGGGTATACAATGCTTCGGTGCGGGCTGCCCTGCTCTACACCTGTGAAACCTGGCCTCTCCGAGTAGGCTGAGGATGTGCGGCGACTCTGCGTGTTCGATCATCGCTGTCTCCGCAGGATTGCTTGCGTTCGATGAAATCATCGCGTGATTACTTCTGAGGTTCGGCGGCGTGTGTTTGAACACAGTGGAGATCACCATTCATTGAGTGTCGTCATCTGGAAACACCGGCTCCGGTGGCTTGGACATGTGCTGCGAATGTCACCCCAGAGGCCTCCGTACAGGTCTCTGTTTGCTAGCCCTGGGACGGGACGGAAAAGGTGGAGAGGTGGTCAGTCCATGACGTGGCGTCGTGGGATGAAGGATTTTTGTGCTAGATTAGCATCGGTTGGTGTGTCACGACTTCCTGGTTGGGGTCCGAGAGATAGCTCAAATCGATGGCTCGAAACGTTATCGGATATGGCCGAAAATCGTAATCAATGGCGAACGTGTTACAATTTCCTTCTTTCTTCCCTTCCCGATGATAGTTAACGAATACTGTTTGAACTTGTCAAACATGACTGTCTTCCTTCCAGATGAAGTTCTTTATCCGTTCTCTACTTATATATTTTTCTTTTCTTCTATGTTGTTTTATTATTATTGTGTGGCGCATCCTTCTTGGTGCCATATTGTACCAGGTTTTTATGCTTTTAAATAAATAAATAAATATGTTTACCTATTAACACTTAATATACCTGATTAGTATACCGTAAAGCATTAATCTTACGTGTCATTTCCACAGTGCTGCTGATATTCGCGTATTGTATGTATCATACAGCGGAACAATATTATCCACTTAAATTACATTTCGAACAATATTCATTGTTTTTAATCATATCGGATGTATTTTTGTCGACATATATGACACCTACGCTATATTAAAACTCATATTAATTAGTTCGATCACAAACTAACTTCAGCTAGAAAACCATTGAAAAGCGGGAGTAGTCAACAGAAATCTCATCCCAGTTGGGACTCTTCAGCGACACGCACTCCTGACGCCATCAGGGATCGTACCTAAAATCGTCAGGTTACCAGGCGAACTCGCTGACCATTCAGCCACTGGGATGGGATCCAATGGCTCATGAGCTTTAACTTCTGCGAATTCGTAGCGAATAACGCCAGCCAATGTCATAGGTGAGTAGTATCTACCCTCACACTGTCTCTCCTCTGGTCACGACTTCCGGTTAGAACTTCAGGTAACTCATCATGTAGTAGTCAATCATTAATGGGCACTAGATTAATTTTCAAGTGTTGGTTTGTGGAGATCAGATTGATATCAAGTATGATCCATAAAGTCTTCTGACTATAGTTAGAGGACCAGTACTCCCTGGGTTTCAGTGTTTCTCTAAATGAAGTCGGTTCGTCATCAATCTTGAAATCAATCAAATCCCTGCAAAACTAATATTATAAATAGGCATACTTGGGATTTCCATCGTAACTCACTCTTTTGGCATTTTGTTTATTAGACTAATATTTTACTCTAAACATTACTCAACCGTTGATATGTCCAAATTAGTGTAGATGATGTAATCCTAATGAGCTAGAACATCAAGTCACAAGGGTTTTCTGTGAGAGTGAATCATGTCGGTCCAAAGATAAATAGTTTAATCTAATTTTTATATCACTGTGTAATGACGGTGTCTGTTGATCTGTGAGATTGTGTTTTCCATCAGCGACCTGAGTGAGAAGACCTCGGTCTTCCTCTCAAAATGCTCCGAGTTGCCACACGTTCATAGCCTTTGCCAGGTAAGTCATATTCACACCTCCATGTGGCTGGGGTGTTACCCACGGAAGTGAAAGGCCGAACGCGAACGTTTGGAGCGTACTGCAGGACTGGTGGATATCCTGGTCTACCTAGGGGAGATGAAAAACACTGATTCCAAACCTATAGTGTACATGAGCTGCAGAATCCGAAACATCGAATGGCATATGAACCGGCATTGTTCACCGACAACCAGGGGAATGTAGCTCGTGACGCTGCTCCACTGGCTTGTGTATCAGACTTCAAGCCAAAGACTTGTGGGGCGTGTTTGTCCCTCTAAAACAACCACCTGCCTTGGCTTGTATGTTTAGACAGTATCCGAGCCCTCGTGCAAACCACGTGACTTAGTGTGGCGCATCTCTTAATGCCCATAATGCGCAAAGTTTGTTTTCTAATAATTAATTGATTATTGCTTGCTGTCAATTTTCCTGTATAAACGTGAAAGTCAGACTTGCTAAATAAAGTCTAGTAAGATAGGTAGGTATATACTAGCGTAATAATCACTTGCCATTTTTTCTCATCTTTCACCAATTCATCACTGTGTCAAAAAGCGCGAATTATTTAAATAAAGCATTTAAATGAAATCATCTGTCAAAAGTATACTGTTTCAAGCTTTATCCGAATACTTTAGTAGTTACTCAGTATTAGTTATCTGTCAAATATTAATTAATGTGAACAAAGGAGGAAGAAACATTGACGCAGAATAATCTGGATCCATTTTATTTCGCTGGTTCTCATCAACTGCGTACAACCTAAATTCTTTAATAAAATAAAGTGTGCAGTTTCAACGAACTATTGTCCATTAGTAAGCATATTGTCAGAGCGTCATAGTGAAATAAGGCGTTGCGATTTACAGGGTGTCTAAAGTGTTACGACATATACATCTTGTTAGAGAGAAGATTCTTGAAAAAAAATTAATTAACAGTTGTGTTGTAGGGGCCGTAACAAAATAAAATTAGTAGTAGTCACGTAATTAGATAAGAGAAGATCAAAATTTTAAAATTTCGGTGCACATGAGGTCAGATGAGAAGTTGATGGTAATACAGGAGCAGAACTCAGAAGATCAAGAAAAATTATCTCTTAATAGGGTCAAGCGAAAAATAAAGGGGGGGGGAGTGAAATGGTAAGTTAACAAAATTAGAAAACAAAGAGTTACTAAAAAGTGAGTTACCAGGGTAACTGAAGTCCAACAACGGATTCTTTTTGGACACATAATCAGGCTTCAATCGTTTTATTGCTATAGCTTCAGCAAACCTGAGAAGACTTGAAGTACTTTGTCTGTTAATTATTTTGATTAATGATCATTAATTATTATTATTAATTAATAAAATGAAAAGTTGACGCTAATAAATAGACAGAGATTATTAGAATAAAGAAATTCGTATTACCCCATAGACTAGTAACATCATTGTTGCAACAGTTATTCTATTTCACCATGACATTTTGTATCTGTAAACTTCATACGCGTCTCATTTAAAGCACAGCTACGTTTTTATATTTTCACCTGTAAATACCTTTGAGTAAGTTTTTTCACTTCTCAGAGGGTAGACATTATTTTAATTTTATTATTATAATTATTTCCGTACGAAACATTTGTGCGTCGGTGACAGTGGTTAGGACTCTCGCCGACCATGCACATGGTCCCAGGTTCGATCCCCTGCCGACGCACACCTGGTATCTATGGTCGGACTGCAAAATTTGGGCTACCGATATCACACTGAAAATTCCATACTTGTACCAAAATACAGTGTGGAATCAAGTTGTAATAAAAAAAAACTTGGTACATTATGAGCACTAAGAGATGCGCTACACAAAATCTCATAATTTTTGCGATGCTGGGATACTGTCGGCACGCCCAGACCGAAGCAGGTGGTTCTTTTAAGGGGTGACTCATCGCAAGCATTTGACTTGAAATCTGATACACAAGGTAGTGGAGCAGAATCAGGAACTACATTTCAATAGCTATATGAAAGGAAAGACGTTCAGCCAAGAGTTACTCTTTTCGGCGATATCAGTTTCAGACTGTACAATCGCATATGCATAGCGAATTGTCTCAGCTTGAGAATGTTATCACCGAAAAGCGTAACTCTTCGCTGAACTCCGTTTCTTTTATATGAAACAATAGGAATTTTTAAATTACCATAGCTGTTGGTAACGACAACAGGTTCATACGCCATACAATCCGTTTGGATTCTAGAGTTCATGTACATCACAAGTTTGGAATCAGTGTTTTCCAACTCTTTTAGGTAGATCAGGATGTCCATCAGTCCGGTTGTTAGTGCCAGACGTTCGAATTCGTCCTTTCACTTCTGTGAGGAACACCGTAGTGGCGTGCATATGACTTGTCTGGCGATTGGAGAGGAATACCGAAGTTGTCACACCTTCATCAGTACGAACCGTTTATGAGAACTAACCAGGAATTACTGGAAAGCTGCTTTGTTTTAGTTTTGGACTCTTCATTAGTATGAATCCATGGTTTCATCAGGAATCGAACTCATAACCTTAAGTGTACGAGGCGAACACTTTGACCATTGAGGCATTGGGTTAGACTGAGAGATTGTCGTGAATTCAATGAGATACAACAAGTTGATCGTAATAACTCGAAGGCCTGTCACAGCCTCCTCTAAGGAATAAAGAAAACGGTGGATTAACAACAAAACAAAAAATGAGCAAAATACTCTGATCATCAAGTTATAAAAGTGGAATATGTAAACTACACATAGATCGCACGATGTTCATTTACTTTCTGACCACTTCACTTTATTGTGATTTGTCTTAATTTTGTGATGATCGCGAGCGGAACTGTCGCTCTGTCTCCAACCTAAGTTGACTGTCATATGTTAGAAAGTCTCAACTGCTAAAAGTAACTGAATAACATTTTCTTTTCTAAAGCTTGATTCGACCAAAGAACAATGTATTTGCCAGTACCATTTGGCAATAACGAGTTAAGGCCTAGATTGTCCAGCGGAGAGGAGAAGTCATTCGACAAGGGTAGGAAACTTCATCAACTGAAGTGACCTGATCGCATACTACATATACCGAGCCACCTCGTCCTCTTCGACGGGCGATGTTAGCTGAAGTCAGTTTGGGTTGAAAATGAGTTAGGAGTGGTTAGAATGAGACATGGTGATAGTCAATGAAGTCAGTGTCGATGTACGGAGTTGTTTACTTTCTGGCTGGAGTCTTGAGGATGTTGAGAATCAATGACTAGAAACTGCGAGTTATGTAACTCAAAATGATTCATGATAACGAAGACATACCCAGTCCCTGTTATGATCTGGATTCTCAAAAGTCTCGTCAATCTTCTTTTAATTACCTTTTCCTTGTACATATTCGTCTCCCTGGTTTTATTGTATTCCTCTCATTTCCTAACCTTTTCCAAAGCATGGCAACTTTACGCTGATAAGTTAATCGCGTTTTCATTCGACATTGAAGATGAACAGATACATCAAAGAAAATGATTTATGCTGTACAACTTCGTTCTACCACTAACCGTGTCACAGCATAAATACGCGAATATTAACAGTCAGCTTATGTGCGAAAATATAATTCAGTCTGTTTCTTTTCAAGAATCGGAATAGTATCTATAAGCGTAGTCATCTAATATTTGACTCCAGATGGTTGTCCAGTTAAACTTATTTACTCACTGTCTTAATGTCATTACTGATCAGGTAAATAAATGTAAAGTTGCCATCTTCTATATTATTGTTCAATTTTTTTTTAGGTTCCATTAGTTTCAACATTATCGTCTTCATCATCACCTCTCCCACCGCCAATACAACCGCAATCACAGCCAACGGTCCACCATTCCAAGCTCCTGTCAGCAGTACAAATTATTTCAACCAATCCTATGCTTCTATGCCAGCTTATATGCAAGCATCAAATATTCCTCCTCCTGCACCTCTTCCTCCCGGGTTGACAAATATGTTCCCTATGCAACCACCACCACCACCAGTAAGTTCATCTGGAGAGCAGACCTTCTCGCCGGAGACACCATTGATTCTTTTGGACCCACAACAAATGGTGATAATGCACAGCAGCAGTACAATACACAATTTAATATGCCACAAATGACAAGTGCTCGATACTTTAATCCTATGAATGATAATCTACCCTCGTCAACAGTAATCTCACTACCTGGAATGCCTCCATTGGATGTAAAAATGCCCCCTTTAGAAAGTACGTTTACTTTTTATTCTTTCAAAAAGCATTCTTACGTTAATCGCTACAACAATATCAATATTGGGCTTAATGATGTTCAAATGATCTTCGCTCCTTTTTTAATTTGTCATAATCGTGGAAAAGTACTGATCAAGATATTAAACAGAAGAGAAGAAGTCGCTCACCAAAGATATCTTCTTCGCACAGTGGGTTAGGACTTTCGCCGACCATGCACATGGTCCCAGGTTCGATCCCCTGCCGACGCACACCTGATACCTATGGTCGGCCTGCAAAATTTGGGCTACCGATATCACATACTGAAAATTCCATACTTGTACCAAAAGTACAGTGTGGAATCATGCTGTAATCAAAAATAAAAAAATAAAATGAATAAAAAAAAAAAAATAAAAGCTGTACAATCGCATTTATATACACATAACCCTACACAGCTACAATCATTATTTAAGTCAACATAATGACGAAGGGGCACCACAGGTGACAATAATTTCCAACTTGATATGAGAGTTTCAAGGTGTGAATATAGATCCCAAGGGGGCATACGAACAAAATTACATAGGGTTAGAAAATAGTTGCACAATATGTAAAATGGTGTTCAAGGAAGACAGGTGTATGTGAACAGGATGTGTTTATTAACCCGGACTTCAGGGAACACCTAGCGGCAAATATTCTAATAAGGAGAATCTCTGGTTTCCTAAAGAAGACACTTCCTGCAGCAACTCTAAGAGTGATATTCTCTAGCTACTCACTGCTCCTATGCTCTGTGAAGGACAAACTCCAGCGCATGACCACTCTAATATGCGTATATCAATTCATTTGCTCCTATGGAGCTAAGCACATAGGCTGGTCTGTGTGCGTTCTTTCGAAACGCGTTAGAGAACACTATCCAGCATAGATTCAGAGAGGCAGCACTGGTTCAATCAGAAGCGCCACAATTAAACACCTCGTTAGCGCCTGTCACTTCATCTCAACTGACTCATCATTTAGAGTAATTTACAAAATGAACAAAAATCTACACAGGGAGTATCCTTCCGATTCGGAAGCTGTGTGTTCAAAAGAAACTAGTTCAACCTTTCTATTCACCATGGATTTAGTTCTGTTTAGGTCTTTATTTAAAAAAAAATTATTATTTCAACTCGGTATTATGCACATCGCTTTCACACTTGTCTTCGTCAAAAGCTATTTTGCATATTATGTAACTATTTTCTAACCCTACGTAATTCTGTTCCTATACCCCTTGGGATCCACATTGACACCTTAAAACTCATATCAAGTTGGAAATTATTATCACCTTTAGTGCCCCCTTCGTCTTTATGTTGAATTAAATTATAATTGTAACTATTTAGGGTTATGTGTATATAAATGCGATTGTACAGCTTTTGAGGATGAAATCGCCAAAAAGATATCTTTAGTGAGCTGTCCATTCTTTTGGCTCTCTGATTGTTATAAAACTGAACAAGCTATAAGCCACCAAACTGTTTCAACTTGACACAAGCTACTTCATCAGTATTAACCAATTCAACTGGTCAAGAAACTGCTTTGATATAACAGTAGTTTCGCGTATTCATATCTTAAAATTAGATGACCATAAAAAGACTACAAGTGTTACGCAGATGTGATAAATTCAATGAGATGTACTTACTGTGATTTATGTCCACCAGAGGCGGATTTTATTTTTGTGACATAATCCTCTGGTGCTAAGTGCCTTTAATGTCATTCTTTTAGCTAAAACTGGTTAGACCAGACTCTTTCGACACGCATGCAATGCTATAATGATTGAGTCCTCTGTAATAATGTACAGTGTTGGGTATTGTTACACTTAAAAACAGCACCATTCAACTGAAAGTATTACAAAGCAAATTAGAAAATATAACTGTGTGATAGAGTAGAATTTTCTAAGGATTAAATAAACTGACTGACTGGTTTCAACATAAAGTTTGCACAGAATTGCAGCAGTTCGCATCGCCACACTCTATGAAGCACACAAAGAAAGACAAAGAGGGAAAAAGAGATTTGGAAGAACAATGATAAGCAGAAATATGTTGAAAAGAGAAAATAGTAATGTAGGAAAACTATAGGATGTTTTGGATAAGGCAGATCACAGAGAGTGAACGCATCTGCGCCATTGGTGAGAACAATTCTGAGTCATGTCACCAATTGTTTCAAGTCATTGGTTCTTATCATCCCGAGGATCCCAACCAGACAGTCAGTACTTGCCTACTAGGCTGAAACTAAATGTTAAAGATTTCATTGACTGGTGCCATGTGTTCGTTTCACCGTCACTGGCCTTTTCCCCAACCTAACCCTATGTCAACTAACATTGTCCATCGAGGAAGGTGATGGCTAGACACGTGTCACACTTGTTCTAGCCGTACCAGTCGATGTCGTTTCACGACCTCATCGACGGATTTTCCACCTGTACCTAACACTCGACGCCTTTTCTCAATATTACTCACTCTATTATAGCACGTAACATGGGAAATAGAATGCAGACACCAATGGGCAAAGAAAGCTAGTCTTTGCATGTCTTGCGATGGCCATGTCCCGTGGCCATAAAGGAGAACGGAGCAAACTACTGAGCAGTACACACGCTCTGTGATCGATAGTCGGAGAGATGGCGCAAGTTGGAAAGTGCCAAACGGACCTTCTGTATCCTTGCTGAGATTTCGTCAGCGATCAACCCGTTAAGGCTGTTGCAACTTTTCAAATAAGTGAACCACTTCACTCCCTGTCTTTAAGCTAGGAGTCCAGTTTTGTAGCATCATCTTACATTCAACATGAGTAAATCCCATGGCAAACATTCAAAGATTGATGCTCAAAGTCTTCAAAAGACTCAACATTTTCATCAGCGTCTTCACCCACAAGGACTATACCATCTGCATATTTTAAGTCAACACGACTGTACCTTGGTGAGAAGTTAATCAATCCCTGAGTGGCTGGGGTTAATTTGCATTAGTATTAAATAAAAAAGTTTTTTTCTGTCACTAAATATTCACAATACTAGTGAAAAGAAAAAGTACAATGTTGAATTCAACAAATTAGAATTTTGGTAACACCAACTGAACTCCTTCCCACTTTTTTCTTAAATATTGCAGTCAACAACTGTTAATGCTGTAAGTATTTAGCTTAAAATTCATAATATTAAGAAGAAATTTATCTTTTGTATTATAGGAGGCACCATTTAGACATAAGCAAGCCCAAGGCTGCAATCGAATATTGACGTGTATTATCTGTGTTGGTTTTTTTCTTTTCATTCTTATTGTACATTTTTATTTAGACAAGATATGCATTGAATGCATTTTCTACCTGTGGAGCTAATAGTATTGAACAGTACCGACTGGATCTTGAATACATGGTATTTTAGGCTAGAGTTGATAGTCATTGAGTAGTTTTAATGTGCAGAACTCTGTGTGTGTGTGTGCGTTTCTTTCCAGGGTGTTGCAAGTTGAGTAGTAGATGAAGTTTTGTGCCAAGTTCTACGTTCAATGGAAATGTGATAATCACTTACTACAACATTTCTTTTATATACAGTATATTGGGAGTGTATGCGTCGGTGGCATAGCGGTTAAGGACGCTTGTCAACCATGTACATGGGCCGGGGTTCGACCCCCGACTGGTGCACTCCTTTACCTCACTCAGCCAGAAATAATGCTGGTAAAGAGGAAAGGTTGGGCATGACGCTAGCAACTCCATCCTGTAAAATAAACACAGCTACGGAAACTTCAAGCCATTAGCTTGAAGTCCTATGTTCCACTGGGGAACGTGAAGGAAGAAAAATATTGGGAGTGATATGAATGCTTCTTGTTTTATGGTTATTAACTGATATAGGATTAGGTTGGTTGGTATCGTCTGGTGATTTTAATACTCTGGGTTAGGTGTAGATTGCTCGGCAAGGAAAGAAGTTTGCGAAACTCTATCGACTGAGATGACTAGGATACATGCTTTGCATGCCCCAAGCCATCGTCTTCCTCAGCGAAATATATTACCTGACATGGGATTTGGTTGGAAAGTCAAACCACAAAGTGACACTTATTCATGAAGTCATGGACTGTGCTGATTTAGGCCAGCTGGCTAAAGAGATTTAGACTACCTGGTTAGCATCGTCGAGACTCTAAGAGGCAATGGTTTGAGACTATTGGTGATATGGCACAAAACCATTCTCAACAGCGTAAATGTATTCACTCCTCATGAACTCACAGATTCATCATTATTCTTTCACTGAAAGTGGTATTGCTTAAGCCGATGAGAAATACATTTCTGCAGTTAGCGTTCACCATAATTCGATGATCAGACTTTGCTGCTGATGTTGATGATTGGCTTGTTTCTGTTGGTACTGCTGTTCTTTCCTCTTTATTTTTTAATCCCTGTTCATCAGTATAACAAATCGATGTGTCAGAGTGTACATATTTTCTTTTCCTTTTGCAGGTCTTAATCTTTCTTCGAATCCCAGCTCGTAAAACCAAAACCAAAATTTGTTTGAAAAAACTATTTTATTCTGATTCAAGTGGTGTTGAACACAACACACACACACACAGAAGAAAAGAAACTTTTAACAAGTCAATGACACATTTATTATTTACCTAGGTGTATTGCGGTATACCATCCATCTACTGGAAAAAATGTGATAAAAAAAATAGTAACTTGAGGACTCTTTTTTATTGTTCACTTGTAACTTTTTGTTTTTTTTCTGACCGGTTGATTTGTTTGTAAATTTACCTTTGTGTGTGTGTGCAATCAATT